AGAGTAGCTACTGTCAGGTGAGGAGAAAAATCTACGAAGAAAAGGCCAAGAAAGAGCAGTGGGTGCTGTTTTCTCTGCGCCCAAAAAGTTGTGGCCGGTAGACTTTCAACTCCGATAATAACCGTAAATGTCAACGTTAAATGCATATAAAGGTTTTACTATATTTTTCCTAGGAAAAGAGCTCACCGTGACACCGTCTTTAGCACTTGTACTTCTTCCATTTTCTCACATAAACTTTCAAAGGAAAAAAAAAAAAAAAGAAAAAAGAAAAGAAGAGTAAAAAGACAAGCAAGCCCTCGAACTCCCCAATCTTGGCAAATTAGCCCGACGAGAATAAAGTGTCGTCACCTAGTTAAATAGCTGCATGTTTTTTACTTTCGATGGCATTCCCTTTTAAAATTGTAGCATGTGATTTTTCTTTTTTTGGGTCAATTCATTGCTTAGGGTTTTTGTCCTGGGAGATTTTATGCAAAAGAAAATGATAAATTAAGGTTCTATTAAGATGATTCTCGGTTTGGATTTTACATTTTAGTTTTTATAAATTTTGTAAATACAAAAAATTAAAATAAAAAATAAAAAATTAATTTAAAATGAATTTTAATACTAATAAAAAAATTTATTTAAAAATATTAAAACTATTTTTTCATATTTCTCTAATAATATACTATATTACAAAAATAAAAATGAGAGTGAGCAAATTTTTTATTTAAATTTATAAAATTTATAAAAATTAAAATTAAAAATAAAAAACCACTATCCTAGAGTAGCCGACCCAAGGATATAAAAAACTATGAAGGGATAACAGTAGTATAGAGTATAGTAATATCAATAAATCACTCACAGTCCGCATAACATATAAATAAAAGGGCAAAACGGCAATCCTACCAGACTCATCTTTCTCAAACTTCATGAAGGGCTGCAGAAGCGCCGACATTTAGGGCCTATTTGCTCTGTCCATACAGATGCAATATGGCAAAAATCTTCATGGTTCATCTGCAAGATGACAAATCACAGCACGTGTCATGTGGTGAAGACTGATAATACCACGATATGTGAACAAGAAAAATACATCAAAAGTTCATCAACAAAGAGTAACCCATAAAGCTCTTTTAATTGGTTCATGAAAAAAAGAGAAGCTCAATCCACAACTTGCTATAAATTGAGTTAGAAACTAAATGAAGAGGAAGTTTAAGATGGCTAGGCATAAGACCTTTTCTGCACCAGTGGCATCATCAATCACACAATTTTCTCTTAAACAAACCCACATTGCATCCAGATCATCAGCATTTAGCAGAAGATCTGATTGCTTCTGCAAAAATGAATCAAGAATGTGAATGAGAATTAAAGCAGATCATCACAAACTTTTGTAATCTGTAATCATAACAAGTACTTAAACGGTTGTACTTTTAGAAATCGTTATTTTGCCAGGCTCTGAACCCTGTGACTGATGAATCCTTCTTCAGGTGTCTGAGATTGAGAGAAAATACAAATAGTAGAGTTAAGATACACTCTTTCATCACTGCTTATGTAAATGCATAAAATGATAATCTGTGAAACCAGTGAGAAAAAA